GCCCCTGGACCCCGCACAACCTGTCTCACGAAAGATACCTTTATTCCCCTTAGTTAAAAGTAATTTAATGCTACCATCTTTGAAGTCAGCACACTTATATTTGAAAAAAAATGTATGCACATATATCAACTCAATATCGAATATTAGTAACTCTGTTACCATCGAGACTGAAGAACATTTAATACTACTAGTGCCAGTATACACATACATACCGCTACATTGGTAGGCAGATCGTAAATGTTATACTATAGACTCTAAAAAAAGCATGGTTTTTGGCAATGGACATAACGCAAAGCAGCAATATTGGCAGCCTAGGCTGCGTTCAGACACAACGGCAATATCAATCTGCACGCAATCTATTTGAATGAACGGGTGCCAGAGAGAGGGCGAACGATCCGTCATCTCTTCGCCCTCTCTCTCTCTCTCTCTCGCACTCGCGCATTCAAATGGATTGTAAAAAGTATTGGTGTTGCGTCTTTACGCAGCCTTACAACATATATATACTGGAGTTAGCATATATATGGCAATGCTTGCATACTAATTTGAGGTCTATAAACTTTAATTAATTTTTTTATTATACATGTAGAGTTGATAACCTAACTTTGCACCTTTAAGGAGAAAAATAATATACGCTACTCGAGCGCAAGCTTTTGCACCCTTGGGCGAACTTTGCGCCCTTCGACTACTTTGGGCCCTAGGGCGCAAAGTACTTTTCTGCCCACGGACCCAAAGTAGTCGGCGGGCGCAAAGAGACACTTTGCGCTCTAGTGGCGTAATGTACTAATTTTTATGGTTTAAAGACTCGATATGTATTATTCACGTGTAGACTCAAGAACGTTTACATTAACTAGTGTAAAATATCCTACATAAAGGCTACATTGATGTGTTCTATGTATAAAACTATTTACAACAAACGTTCGTACGAATATACAATATGATTCGATACCTACCCATACAATATGTTATAATCATTCAGGTCTATCGGTTATTTATTATTTTTTAGTTACTCGCCAATTTTTTTGTTTAACAACTTAATGTAAATGGCCTTATGGCTATTTAATAAATGAGGTGTTACGAAAATACAATTTTGTAGAAATAGTATTCAGTATTTCCAATTTTAAATAGGTTTTCCAATTTCATTAATATCAGGGCTCATTTTTTTATAGTAATTGCAACAAAGTTTTTTATCCCCGCACTTACTTTGATTCTATAGTTTTATTATTTACCTACACATGTATTATCGCCTTGCCCCTGATGTATATATATCCCTACGAGCTTGTATGTGTTAAAGTTTAGATTTTTGATAGCACTCAAACAGAATACTATATTTCTATTAGCATGATTAAATTAATTAATATGATGTTGAAACTTGCGTAGGGCTAAAAAGGCGTGATAATAGCGCAGTTGTACACTATTCTTATTCTCAGACGTACTGACGTAGCGCCACCGTGGTACTTGATTATGAGAAAATGATTCAATTGGTGTTCGAAAGTAAAACGACGTAAACTTTGTTGAATTCAGTTATTAATTTCATTATTCTGTATGTAAATTAGTTAAGTAAGATATTGGTAAATATTATATTTCTCTTTTGTTCTGGTTTCATAACTTAGCGTTTATAATTGTACTGATATTTCACCTTCCTAAAAATATATAACTGTAGTAAAGAAATATCCTGAAGCCAGTACACAATAAAAATGTTCTAAGTAATAATGGGGTTAATTGGAGCAGCTGTCTCCGTCACCCAAATATTGTAATATGTTACGAAAAATCAAGATGCAATTACAAAACGAAATCATTTTACGTTTTAAAAACCTTACACACATAAAAAAGTTGACTCTTTTTAACGAAACGACAGTAGATTCAGAAATCCTTATTTTGCCGAGTGTATAAATATATTACGAAACACCATTCGATGTAAAAGACAACATACTAGATTATTAGTGTAACGTACAGAATATTCGAATAATACAAAATGGCTTGTTTTAAGAAAACGAGGAAATATTTTGCAAATGTTTCCTGATTACTTCAATAGTTAAAACTGATTTGCCATAGACGTACTTTGAAATTTATGTACTCTATTCTAAATCGCAGGTATATTTGTCCGACAATAACGATCGTTTAAGTTGAAATAATAATGTTAATACTTACTATTTATCATTTCTGTTGATGACTTTTGATACAAAGCGTTCTTTTATGCTGATTGCGAGATGGAAGAATCGTTTAAACACTGTAGAACATAATTTCGGTATTTTCGCTTACATCAATCGTAACTTCATATTTTTGGTACAATTATTTTCTACTTTTTGGTATTCTGCATAACGGCTTTCGGAATTTTCGATTTCGTGGTGAAAAATGATTCGGCATTATCACATTTTTGGATTTTACCCCCCCCCCCCCCGCCCTCGTCGAAAAAAGTCTCATCGTTGCCTCATTAATGCCCTGAGCGTCGTCTTCTTTGACACCGAATGGTTTAGTATCTTGGATAATCTTGCATAGAAAGAGTAATTCTTCGATTTTACTGTTTTCAAAGTAGTAAAATCGCATGATTACTCTTTATAAATTATAGTTTTGAGGACTCCCTCGTTTCAAATGAATAATATTTGAATTTTACTCCATATCAAAATTTTCAAACAGAAACATTAGTAAAAACTGAAGAATAATCTGGCTCCCAAGGATCACCGACTATCATCCTGATCTCAATAAAACTATGACTCCAAGTGAGATTAGTTGTTATGTCGTACGTTGATGGATGTGTTTGGGTATCAAAATTATGCAGGAAGAGATTGGAAGCTTTAAAAGAGTTGAAAAAATAAATACCGTTACTATCAGTTTTGGGGGCAGTTCCGTATTAAATTATGGGCAGTGGAATCGCTTATTAG